CTTCCTCGCCTTTATTTTGGCATATGTGACCTTTTTATTATTATTGAGATATAACAGGTGACATATAACAGTTTCAAGTGCACATTATTTGATATTTGTATGTACTGCAAGTTGATTACCAAAATAAGTCCAATTAACATCCATCGCCACAATTGCAAAACAGTTCTTTTTTCTTATGATGAAAACTTTTTTTAAGACTTACTCTCTTAGCAACTTTGAAATATACAATACAGTATTAACTACAGTCACCATGCTATACATTACATCCCCAGTTATTTCTCTTATAACTGGAAATGTTTACTCTTTAACCCATTTTCTCCACCCCAACCCTCCCCAACCACCAGTTCTGTATCTATGAGCTTGTTTTTGTTTTTTTTATTCCATGTACTAGGGGTACCAGTTAATAAGTCAGATTTTTTTCAATAGATGGAGTTACACATATGTTGATATATATGAGATTTGATATGTATGCTATTTTGTTGTATTGATAACAAGCTTCAAAACTGCTTATGTTAAATTTGCTGAAGGTGTTAACATCATAGATATTTTTATGCTTAAAAATGTCGAATTTTGTGCCAAAAAAAGAGCATTTGCGGGAATTACAAGCAATGGGAAAGATTTTAAAGGAAGAAAAGGGGTGCCATGTCAACTGAACAAAAGACAAATGGAAAACTGAAAAGTCATCAGTAAAATGTTGCTTCAACCGCAAGAAAGAAAGTCTTTTTTGCATCGAATTGTGACTGGCGATGAAAAGTGGATTTATTTTGAGAATCCCAAATGCACAAAACCAAGGGTTGATCCAGGTCAACCATCTACATCGACTATAAGGCCAAATGGCTTCAAAAAGAAGACAATGCTCTATGTGTGGTGGGATCAGGAAGGTGTGGTGTATTATGAGTTTCTAAAACGAGGTGAAACCATTAATACTGATCGCTACTGACAACAAACAATCAATTTAAACCACGCTTTAATCATAAAACGACCAGAATGGGCCAGAAGACATGGCAAAGTAATTTTGCTTCATGATGATGCACCATCACACACTTCAAAACCAGTTAAAGACATGTTAAAAGATCTTGCCTGGGAAGTATTAACCCACCCACTGTATTCACCAGACCTTGCTCCTTCAGATGACCACTTGTTCTGATTGATGGCACACGCACTTTTTGAGCAGCACTTCAAAACGAATGAAGAAGTGGAAAATTGGGTCTCTGAATGGTCTGCCTCAAAATAAGAAAAGTTCTATTGGGACGGTATCCACAAATTACCTGAAAGATGGGGGAAATGTGTAGCTAGCAATGAACATTACCTTGAATAAAGCATTTTTGATGTTTCTCTTGAAATTATCGTGTTTTCTTTGATTACAAAATCTGCCATTATTAACAGGTATACCTAGTACGTACCTGAGTTCCCCAAATACAACATTTGCTTTCTCACCACCATGCTTTCTTTGCACAAACACTTTCTGCTGACAGCAATATCACTCCTAAAACTCTATCCCTGCTCTCTAGTCATCTTTCAAAATTCAGCTAATACATCATCTCCCCCAGGAAATGTCTCCAAACCCTGAAGTCTGAGCAAGTGTTCCTCCTCTGTGTTGCCATCACACCTATTTACAGCTCTACTAATATCCATCACACTGCCCTTGGATGACCTGGCCAGTCTGAGAGTTCTCTGAAGATAGGAATGAAGTGCTTTTATTTTATCTCCCTGAGTTATACTTAATAATTACCTAATGATAAGCAGACACTACTTTACATAAGAGAAACCCACAGAATAAAGGCTAGAAAATTTTTAATGGGCTAGAGTCAGTGAAATAAAAAAAGTTAACCCAATCATCCAAAAAATTTAATTAGATGGTCTATGTCAGAACGTATTGAGCTAGGCAATAAAAAAAAATCCTAAATAATCATTAAAATATCACATACTCAACAGAAGCAACAATTTAAAACCTTAAAGAATAAATATGTTATCCTATAACCTTATTTTTCATATTATTTCAACTCTAATTCCACTTATCCATTCCTTTCTTCAGTTCTTTGCATTAATTTTCCTTCTAATTAAATGTTGCATTCTTTCCTTCCCTCACCCAGTCCTTTCCACTTCTTCTTTCCTTTCCCTTCTATTCTTTGAATATAACAGGAAATTACAAATACTGTCTTTGCCATCTCTGTCTGCAATATTGTATTAAACAAAGGAATGGTCAAAAAGCAATAAATGATATTATATCACCAGTCAGACTGATAGACAAAACCACATGCATTAATCTAGGTGGGCGATTTCATAATACTAAACAGCAACCTGAGCCATGTGCACTCTAAGTAGTCTGACAGGCCTCAGCGAGTCCTTGGGGTTACGGCAGCAAGACAGTGGGGAGTAAGAGAAAAGAATAGCCAACTTGCTGGCGTTGAGGACAGTCATAGCCCAGCCTCACAACAGTCTGCAACTTGTGTCTACCCTTCCAGAGGAAGCAGAAACAGCCATGGTGAATGCTGGGAGCTGTCCGCTATCTGGACTAGCACAGCTGAGTAACCAACTGACTGTGAGCAACAGCAGCCAGCTAGCACCAGGTGCTAGTCTGAGCACACTGGCCTGGGTACCAACTTGGGGACACAAAATAAAGACTACTATTCCCAGGGAACTTCTGAATTTTAGTTTTACTACAGAATAGATTCTGAAAGAGGCAGAGAAGCACCTGGAGAGGAATTACATAATTACAGTATTTAAACTAGGTTGGTAGGGAGGAACAATTTTTGGAAGGATAGCAATTGCTGGAGGGAAACAGGGTGCATTCTTTTACATTACCTGAAAGTAACTTTGCAAAACCACTCAACATGAGGTCTTGGAGGCATAGGAAGTTCACCCTAAAGACCAATGTTTTACAGAATTCACAAACAAAAATAAAATCTCTTTAACCTTACACTCAGCAAGACAATGTAACAGCAAAGGGTATGTTTGAAATGTTTCTAAAACATGCTGGAAGTGGACAGTCAGCCGCACCTTTAAACAATTTAATTCAAAGCAGCGCAGGGCAAGTTTACGCTCTTACCCGTGTCCAGGAGTTCAGTTTCGATTCTCCAGAATTCTGTGGTTCTTTGTTAATCAGACAACCTAAGCACCATGTTAGAATTTTTTGGCTTTCATCTGCAAAGAGAAAAACTAAAATGAGTAGGTTTAATCAACTAAAAGGGAAAGATAAACAGCATTAAAAAATGTAAAACATTATATTTACAGAAAATGTTTATTATATTTTAGGTAAATCTCAAACTACTAAGTTCACAGAATAAGCATTCAGGACCACGTGTGAAACAACTTGTGGGGTTTTTTCTTCTTGTGGGTGTGGGATCATGTACACTCAGCACTTGTGAGGTCAATTCCCTGTTACAGCAGCAACTTTTAAAGCCAAAAGAGAAGGATGGAAAGGACTAAAAGGACTGGGCTTTTCTCAAGATCAGTTCTTTATTTCTCATTTCAAACCGTTAGTAGTTTCAACCTCTTTAAGGCAACATAATTACTACAGGCAGCACTCAATCTTTCAGATTTAATCTTTTAACTTTCTAATTTGCCAAAACACCCTCCCTTTTTAAAAACAAACTCAACAAAAAGATTGCTTAATACCAAACGGTTTGCACAAATAGAAGCCTCTTAACATGCTCTTAATTTTTTACTCTGAAATTTAAAACTTTAGTAAATATGTGATGAAAATGCTGAATTTGAATTCTGGAATCTTGTATTCGATGGGAATAACTGTTTAGTGAGCCTTTTTTTTTTTCTTTTGGAGACTGAATCCATTCCAGCTGAAAATTTTGTAGCAGGTTTGAAAAGCAAAAGGAGGGCTAAAGATTGAAGATGTCAGTTACCTGAGCTAGAGCCAAGCAGCTATGGACTTTATCACAAGGCCATGGCGGTGAGATTGAGGAAACCCCGCACCTGGAATCAAGCTCTGCAGAACCACCTGATGCCCTGGTGGGGGCAGAAAAATAAATTTCCCTTCTAGCCTTCTAAAGTCTTCTGTCTGGAATAATAATCAAATTAACACGAGACAGATTACCAGGAAAAAATGACCAAGCTTATTATGTATGCACATGTGGGGGTTCCATAAGAATAAGGGACCCATGCTCTCCCGGAGTTGGCTTAGTGGTTGACAGTCGACCTATGAACCAGGAGGTCACAGTTCAATTCCCAGTCAGGGCACATGCCCGATTGCAGGCTCGATCCCAAGTAGTGGACGTGCAAGAGGCAGCCTGTTGATGATTCTCTTTCATCATTGATGTTTCTCTCTCTCCTCCTCCTCCTCCTTTCCTCTCTGAAATCAATACAAAATATGTTTTCAAAAAATAAAAAGAATACAGGACCCAAGGAGAAGTAGGGCAGTTAAGGCTTATATGCCACCTTGAGCTAAGGAGAGAGGACGATTATGGGCTTGGACTTTAAAGGGCAGCAAGACAATTCACAGAGAGGGCTTTGACCAAAGGGCCTTCCTGGGTTCCTCCCTAGCACATTTAGCTCATGGTAAACTATAGCTATCTATAATAGCTTCCTTCCTGGAGCAGGTCCTCTCTAAATCCTTTTAGTAGTTGGGGGAAGGGAGGGGAGGTCAAATTTTTTATCTACGTCTTTTGTTAATTAAAAATAACCAGCTTAAAATAATCAATATTCCAAAAGCATATTTTGGGGTGAAAGACTCAACTTCTCACCCTTTACCTTCTTACCTTTTGTTATCTCATAAACAAAGCATCTCTAAGGGATTCATTAGTATGAAATAAAGAATCACTAGCCAGTTTGGCTCAGTGGATAGAGTGTCAGCCTGTGGACCCTAAGGTCCCGGGTTCAATTCCGGTCAAGGGCATGTACCTGGGTTGCAGGCTCCTCCCTGGCCCAGGCTCTGGTCAGAGCTCATACAGAAGGCAACCAATCATTGTATTTCTCTCACATCGATATTTCTCTCTGTCTTTCCCTCTCTCTTCCACTCTCTCTAAAAATCAATGAAAAAATAATCCCCGGGTGAGGATTAAATTTTTTTTTAAAAAAAGGAAAATACAAACTACAGAAAACTACCTCTTCATTTTCAACCACATACCACAAGACACTAACGTATTTTTTAAACCCATAAATATCTATAGGCTTATGATCTAATAACATCTTTAAACAAACTTTATCAGGATTTATTTGGAGGGATTCACTTTTTCCCCTGGTTTTTACGAGCTTGCCTGAGATCAATTTATTTCAATTATCATATAATTTAACCTCTAATGATCCTAGTGTTCTTCAGGTTGAACCAATCCCATTGATTAAAAATGTGACTATTATATGGCCTATGTTTTAAATATTAGAAGAAATTCCATCTTCATGTCACAAGTGTGACAGACACATCCAATGATAAGTTTGAGACAGGACAGAAAGAAGTTAGGAAAAACTCCCAACCAGGGGGATGAGGAAGTAGAAGCAACATCACAGGCCGATAAGCTGCTAGCTACGTCCTCTCATCAAAGCCCCCACCTCCACACATGGTCAAAGGGAAACAGTTTATGGCAGGAAACTCCTGTGGTGTTCACAGGAGTCATCAACAAGTACTGGCTAAAATCAGATCAATCCACGATGGAGGAAAAGATGACCAAAGACCAACCCCAAAGTCCATTATACCATCACTAGAGGACTGGTGCACAAATTTGTGCACAGGGTGGGGGTGTCCCTCAGCCCAGCCTGCACCCTCTCCAATATGGGACCTCTTGGGGGATGTCTGACTGCCGGTCGGACATTCCTCTCACAATCTGGGACGGTTGGCTCCTAACCACTCGCCTGCCCGCCAGCCTGATGCCCCTAACCATTCTACCTGCCAGCCTGATAGCCCCCTAACCACTCCCCTGCCAGCATGATTGACAAGTGCTCTCCTGCTGGCATGACAGTCCCCAACTGCCCTCCCCTGCAGGCCAATCGCCCCAACTGCCTTCCCCTGCAGGGCTGTGGGGACTGGGGGACTCCAACTAGATGAGGTGGGGGCGCCACCATATTGTGAGGGTGTGGCAGTCAACTAGCATATTCCCTCTTTATTGGGTGTGAGCGCTGCCATCTTTGTGAGGGTGTGATGGTCAATTAGCATACTCCCTCTTTATTAGATAGGATTACAATGAAACTGACATTACAAGTATGTGGGGGGGAGGGGGCAGGTGGACAAACACCATGACACTTGCAGAAGGGACCATGTTGGAGACAAGACCCCCTCTCAACCCAAAGGCAAAGACAGAATTTGGTGCCACAAAGTTCAGAAACTGAAAACACATAAAATCCCAGGAACTAACTGACCACAGGAGGCACAACTCACGAGTTCTTCATGTCCACACCCTGTGAGACTTGCAACCAGGGGGCACCAGGTGGCAGCAGCCAATCCTGGGCTCAACCCCCAATCCTGTCTCCCAGAATCCACATCCAGACCTCTTTCTTTCTCTACCTAAATAAAACGTGCTTTCGCTCTCCCTAGGATTCGTTCTTGAATTCTTTCCTACACAAGTCAAGAGCCTTGAGGTCCTGAACCATATGGGGGTGGGGGGACAGAACCCCTGGTTTGGAACCGGTCCAGTGACAAGCTTACACAAACAGCTTCCTGGGTTAAAAAGGAATGCATTTCCAAAACGCAGACATTCAACACTAAAATAAAAATTAAAGAAAGAAAAAGAAGAGAATGTTAATGCATGGAGCTTAAATCCAAAATAATACAAAAGATAGGAGTTTTTCCCAGGTGTTGAGATATTTCACATATTTAGTTCAACAGTATATTTATTTTTCTCTCAAAAAGAAAAAAAGAAACTGGTCAGTGTGTTTGGTGGTTAGAGCATCAGCCCATGCACCAAAGGACTGCAGGTCTGATTCCTGGTCAAGGGCACATGTCTAGGTTGCAGGTTCAATCCCCACCCCAGTCAGGGAGTGAACGGGAGGCAACCAATTGATGTGTCTCTCTCACATTGATGTCTCTCTCTCTCTCTCTCTCTCTCTCTCTCAGCCAATGGAAATACTAGTAAAATCCTCAGGTGAGGATTAACAATAACAAAAAACTAAAAAAAGAAAGAAAAAGAAAAGTCAAAGAAATTTTCACCCAACCTTTAAGTATACATGGTACATGTAGGACATCCTAATTCAGAATATTAAAATGTGGGAAAGTTTGTGTTATAGAATTGAAGAAGTAGAATCAGAGGCATCACTCATTTTGCGCTAATCTCCGTGGATTGCACAGTGGATCTAAATGAGTTCTTGATGATAGTCTTGCAGAAAAGGTAATTATGGATTAGAATAAAGAAGACACTTTTCCCAGAGTACAAAGCTAATAAGAGTCAGGAGCTCTGCCCTCTAAAGTCTGCCATGTTGTAATGATCTAACCCCCAGTAGATCACACCATGTGATGGAAGCATTCCAGTCCTGGCTTTCCTACTGGCCAGCTTCACCTGAATGTATATGTTCACTGCACAGATATTTACTGAGGTTTTTGTTTTATTTTTTGTTTGTTTGTTTTTGTATGCCAAGGCCTAGGAACACACGGCTCACAATTTCTGCTCACTTTTCAGTGAAGGAAAAAAGAGACCAGAAGTCAGAACAAGGATCTGAGGAGAAGACTTTCACAGGGGAGCTCAGGCTAGAGCTGACTCTTGGAGGACAGTAGATGAAATGGGAGTTTTTAAGACAAGTCATGGAACTTTCTGGGTTTCTGGTTCCTTATTTGTAAAAGTGGAGGCTGGACTAATTTTATCCCTTGGGCCTAAACTTGTATCGTCTGTGATCTTTCCTTAGCACCTCATCTTCATTACATTGGCCCCCTCTGACAACCAGAAACAAATTCTCCATCTCTCTCTCTTTCAATGCTTGCACTGCCTTTTGAACTGCCCATTTCAGTTTCCTGTTTTAGGTACATCTTTGATTCTGAGCTCATAGAAAAGACTGACAGGCATAGAACGACTTGCTCTATGCTGTTGTTTCACTGGTTGGGCATTTTCTCTCAGGAAAGGGTCTTTTTTACAATTATATAAGATCAAAATTATTTTTTAAATACAGTAAACATAAACAGTTTCCATTAAGGAAATAAGTTTCCCATAATGTTAAGTGGGAACAGGATCTGAAATAAGAATAACAAGGAAGAAAGAAGTATTTGGAAATGGAGACACCAGAAAGAGAAGAGACAAAGTAAGTAATAATAGAAAGGGAGAGACACCTTTTATTCAGTGGTGTTCTCTGAATTAGTGCCTTACCTCCTTGAAACCCTTGATTTTATCTCTTTATTTATAATTAAACTTAACAGCTATAACCTTTCTTCCTCACTATTTGCTATCTATTTTTTTTAAATATATTTTATTGATTTTTTACAGAGAGGAAGGGAGAGAGATAGAGAGTTGGAAACATCGATGAGAGAGAAACATCGATCAGCTGCCTCCTGCACATCTCCTACTGGGGATGTGCCCGCAACCCAGGTACATGCCCTTGACCGGAATCGAACCTGGGACCTTTCAGTCCACAGGCCGACGCTCTATCCACTGAGCCAAACCGGTTTTGGCTATTTTCTATCTATTGCTGTGTAACAATTAGCCCCCAAACTTGGCAGCTGAAACAATATTTATTGTCTCAAAAAATGCTGCCTTCATGCTTTTAAACTATAGAATTAAAGTTTAAAGAATTAACTTTTATTTGAAATTTCAGTTTAAGATATAAAAAAAATAAAATATTAGGTGGCAAATATATATTGGTATATTCCTTTCATTTCCACTCTTTTTCAGAATAAAAACCTTGCACTAAGATCTGCTGTCAGTTTCCCATCTCACTTAATTGCCTGGCTGGATGCTCCAGTCTTAAAGTCAGGGCCTCCAGGAAGAATCCTGAGACAGGCCATCCCCTGTAGTGTGCTTGTGGCATTCATGAATAACAAGTGATGGCTTGCATCTGTAAATTCCTAAAACAAAGTAAGCTCATTAGCAGTACATTTCAGTGGCACCACTAAAATATATAAATACAAGATAGGGATGTGTGGCCCTGGTAAGAGTGGCAAGTACAGTGATGGCTGTACAAAGGCTTTGCCATTTCAGGTCAAGAACTTTAACAGGTCCCAGCAGGTTTGGCTCAGTGGACAGAGCGTAGGCCTATGAACCGAAGGGTCCCAGGTTCGATCCCAGTCAAGGGCATGCACCTTGGTGCAGGCGCCTCCCCAGCCCAGGCCCTTATCAGGGTGCGTACAGGAGGCAACCAATTGATGTATTTCTCTCATATCGATATTTCTCTCTGTCTTTCTCTCTCTCTTCCGCTCTCTCTAAAAATAAATGGAAAAATACCCTCAGGTAGGATTAAAAAATATAACTTGAACAGGCTCAGTATTTGAGGTGGGTAGAATCAACTCAAGAGAGAAGCAGCAACAAGAGGCAGAGAGGAGAGGAAAAGAAGTAGATGAGGGTGGGGCCAGAGAAAGTGAGTTTGAGTGTGTTCAATGCACACATGCATGTATGCTCACAGGACTAAATGCTGATGTCCCTTCCCCACCTAGTTTATGTTTCTTATAATAACTTATGTCTGACAGGTAAGGAGAGAGAAGCTGCATAATTCTTTAAAACTTCAAAGAGAAATATTCATTTTATTTCTTATTCTAATATGTTACACAATGAGTCTTTGACTAAAAATATGAAAAGTAAATATTACATTAGCTAATAATATAGTCAATTCAAGGCAATAAGCCTCAATTGTGCACCTTCAGATGCACCTGCTCCACCCTATCATAGGCCCTAGGACAGGGGTGGGCAAACCCTGGCACGCGTGCCAAACATGGCACGCCAGTAACTTTTGCTGGCACGTGAAACCCTCTCTTATAATCTTCCATTTACAATTTTTTTCTTAATATCGACTTTTTTATTTTTCAGATAAATTTAGTGTAGGTGCATCTTAGATAAATAAATAATTTTATATAACATGTATACATTAAAAAATAAATGTATTTTTCATCATCATATACTGTGTTTTTGTCGCTCGAATGAATTTTATTATTTCTTCAAGGTTCTTCACATACGTACACCTTAAGAGATATCAAGTAGGCGTAACATGTTCTCAAAAAATTAGGGTTGGCATGCAGAAGAATTTTGAGTCAGAGATTTTGCTGGTTTTGGCACGCACTCACAAAAAGGTTGCCCACCCTTGCCCTAGGACACCAAAGAACTAAAACCACAGTTTCGGCTCCTGAAACACATTCAGTCTTCCAGGATATCAGACAGGCAAACCAACAATTATAAACAGTGTAGTAAGTGTTACTGTATAATTAAGAGAAATGCTCGTGGATATGGAAATACTAAGACAGGTTTCCAACTCAGCCCCAACAAGGTGATTTAAAAGGTTTATGAGGAGGAGAGAGAACAGAGTTCCAGGCATCAGGAATTGCATGTCACAGGCTCTAACATCATGTACTTCAGGAACAGTTAGTAATCTGACCTGGCTACCACACATGTGTTGTAGTTGTGGGGAATTAAACAGGAAATGAGGTGGGACAGGTAGGCAGGGGATCAGTAAAGTTATACCTCCCCAATGAATACCAAATTCCTCTTAATCTTTGGTAAAACTAAGTTGTCATCCCTAAATAATGGTAGAGTCATGAAGGATTCACACTCTGAAGAATTTTACACATGAAAAACAGTATGTGTTCTAATATGAAACTGGGAAATAAAAATTATTTCATTATTAAAACCATTTTATACTGAATTAAAAATGAGGTTATGATAATCATCGGGGACTTTCTACCCTCTAAAACTAAGAATTATATTCCCTACAGATCTGCGTATGCATGTGTGTGTGTGTGTGTGTGTGTTTCTCTATACAAACATACATAAACATATATAAACAATAGAGGATGCCATTTTGTAATGGAGCAAAGAATATACATTTAAAAATTTGCTTTGTGAAATACAGAAAACAGATTTATAATTTGAAGCTCTGTATTTTATTAAACAATGCAGACTAAAGTTATCATTAGAAGTTTGTGTTTTGAGAGAGCATGCTTTGGATTCTTACCATATGCTAAGATAAAAGGATTCCAGCAAGTTTTTGCCAATAGTTGACCAATTGTGGAAAATCTTTCAATGATTGTACTTGAATCCTGTAAAAGAAAATTATGCTTTGGTCAGTAAAAGGGCCCTATATCACTCAGAAAGACTGAACTGACATTACGGTTTGAGAGAACTTGAATGCTTCTTGTTTTAGTATATATTTCAGAAAAGTAAGGAAAATAGAATTAGAAAAGATCTTTCGGTATGTTATTCAAATAAAGGTTAACAAGCAACTGTTAGGTCTGATCAAATAATCGAATGGATACCTTCTCCCCTGGGAACTGACCTTTAGGTCATTTCATAAGCAACATTCCCTTTTGCTTAGACCACATTCCACTTGCTAAGACCATTATCTTTCCCCTGGGGACTCTCCCAGAGAATTCTCCGCCCAGAAAAGCCCGCCTAGAGTCCTTTAAAATCTCTGACTCCCATCCCTGGATGCTGGTGCCATTTTGGGCTCAGTCCATCTGGTTTTCCAGATAACCTAATAAATTCATGATTCTTTACCACTTTGGCCTCATGCGTTCCTCCTTCGGCAACCCTAACAACCACCACCATTGCTCATCCTTAAATCAGGTCACCGACACTAAGTAAGATGTACAGCACATTTAGTAACATCAATACCATTACCAAATTAACTTCACTTTATTCATACTTAACAGTCAGGAAATGCCACTTTATTTAAAAATAACAAAGGCCACATAACAGTGAAAAAACATTATGGGTGATTAATACCTTTATAATCTCTTATCTTTATCCTGAAGTTTTTTTCTAACAAAATAAAAGATGATCCTAACTCAGCTGCAGAAGGGCTATTTCAAAGAAGGTTTAAGAGGACAAAAACTCTGGAACTTATAAAAAGAAATAAAAGCAGCCAAAGCATAAAGATATTTATCTATGTTTATTACTACTTTGGTTACAATATGCTAAATGGCACCAGACTCAGTCTACAACAACCTGAAACCTGAGACAAAAATCAGCCAACTAAATAGAAAACAGCTTAAGATTTAAAAATATGCATGCTGTTGTACAGTGGCCTTTTCCCACTTCTTTATCTTTCAAATAAAGTTCAAAAATGAGACCAAACTGAGATAATGTGCACAGAGGGTGAAATGATAAGCATTTCCTACTGATGCAGAAATAAATTCTTCACCTTGTCTCAGCATCGAGGCCAGTCTTAGACTTCCTAGGACCACTTTAAGATCAAGTTACAAAAGTCTTATTATAAAAAACAATTTTGATATTAGCATTGGTTGTTCATACAGACTGCATCTTTCTTTGCAGTGTCAAAAGACATATGAACTCATACCACCAATATGAATTATCCTTCAAATTTCCTACTTGCTTCTATGATTATGGGAGTAAAAGTATAACACAAGAGTGTCTATGTTGAATCACAATTTTGCTTTGCATCTTGAAGTGAGACAATAAGTATAAAACAAATAATATTTTGATAATATAAAAATACATTAGTTTACAAATATATCTATTAGAATAAAAACAAATCATACCAAAATAAAAATATATCAACTCTTAATACAATAAGTTATATGACAATTGTAAAGACACTCAAAATCTTAATATTTACCAGAAAAGGTCACTTAAAATATTTAAAAGAAGAGATCTTAATATGTATCACTTTTTGGTAGAGCCCACTTTAAAACAGGATTGAGGAAAAGGTAAGCATTTCAGTAAACTCTTCAATGTTTAAGAGAGGCCAAGGCGTTTAAAAGAATCCCAATTATTACCTGACAACAAGTGCCCGAGTTTTATTTATTAAAAAACAATCTGACGGTCAGGAAGTCTTATGTGACAATATAACTAATCAAGAAGAATAGACGAAGTCATAATGAATCAGGGACCATTATGGTAATACAGACAGGAAACCACTTCCTGTCTGTATTACCTAAGGGTAAAATTCATCTTTCTACTCCTTCAGTACAGTAGGTCAATAACACAAATTCCTGACCTTAAAGAGTCCCTGCTGGCATTAATTTTGGTCCACTACTTACCATTTCTTTTAAGATTTCATAAATCTGCCTAAGGAACTCCTGGAACTGAGGTAGGTGATGGCAGATGTCTTGCTGGGTTTCCAAAGTGGAGGCCTGGCCCCATACAGACAGCTTCCGCATCCAAAACTGATAATCAGAAGGAAGTCCTACTGAATCTTGAGCCATCTCGAAAAAGGGGCAAAGGTGATGTACCTTCACTGTGGCCTGTTAAGCGCTGAAGGAAACAATAAGCACATATCAAATCTGTAAGAAAGGGGGAAAATGAAACATTTTTTATTGATGACACTATTATAAATGTCCCCATTTTTCCCCGTTTGCCTGCCTCCACCAGACCTGTCCTCTCCCTTCAGCCCTCATCACACTATAGTCGGTGTCTATGGGCTATGCATATATATTCTTTGGCTATTCCTTTCACCTTCTTTCATCCAGTCCTCCCCATCCACCTCCTCTCACATCTGTCAGTCTGTTCCACGTATCCATGCCTGTGGTTCTATTTTATTCGTCAGTTTAATTTGTTCACTAGATGCCACATGTGAGATCATATGGTATTTGATAATAATCTTCAGGTCCATCCATGTATACTAATAAAAGGGTAATATGCTAATTAGACCGGGTATCTTCCAGAAGTCCTTCCAGACAAAGCCATGGTGGCGGGGCTGAGGCAGAGGCAGTTAGGGGGGATCAGGCTGGCATGGGAGAGCAGTTAGGGGGATCAGGCCGGCAGGCAGGTGAGCAGGTAGGAGCCAGCGGTCCCGGATTGTGAGAGGGATCCCTGCGGGTTGGTTTAGGCCCAATTTCACAGTCGGACATCCCCCGAGGGGGCCCACATAGGAAAGGGTGCAGACTGGGCAGAGGGG